TGTTCCAGGAGTACAGAAAAAGGTAGTTGAGTATTCTCAGAAATATCTTCTCGATGCGAACACATGAGGAATCCGCAGCTGGTTACAGTGGGATCGGATCAAGTTCTGTTTCGGTGATAACCAAATGTTGTACATCACGCTGCTCAATTATCCTTTCAGGCTCGCAGGTCCACTTGTTAGCTGAAATCTTGAGAATAATAGTTACGAGCTTTCGTTCCGTGTTTGCGGTTGAATTGCTTTTTCTGATCAGTACTCGGCTGTTTGCGGGATATTGTTGGTGGGCGAAATAATTCCAGGGCCGCTCGTATTGGTCTCCCATACATTAGTTCGCTAGGTGATTTTTCACCACTTGCGCTGCGACAAGGTGTCGATCTGTCGTGTGTATCGCAGAAAGCTTCGAAACGGTGGTGAGTTAGCTCCCATTATCAGTGACTAGGATCCCCGGCTGACCATATCTTGCGAATATTCCACGAAGCATCCGATCTCTTTGGTTCGCACCACTTCAGGCCATTTAGTGTACCAGGATGAGAAAAAAGTGTCCATTCATCGGACCGGTGAAATCTAAATGCCGTCGATGCTACGGTTATTCTGGGTAAGACCAGGACTCCAGATTAGTCTTCCGGTCAGTTTTGGCTACGCTGGCACACTCGTTGCAAGAACGGACAAGCTTTACTACTCGTCGATGTTTGGTCAAAACACGTGTTGACTAGCTATAGACCGCATACACTCGATAACGCGGTGTCACTTGTGAAATTGTTGGAGCACGCGTTTCCTGCAAGTTGGCGGAATTACCAACCTGTCACCGTACATGATGCATCCAGCCACGACGGAGAGACATTCACGACGTAGATAGAATTGCTGAATTCCAGGAACGATAATGCTTGCTTTCTTTGGCGGCCAACCTTTGTTGACATTTTTTTTTCCTCTGTTCGGGACCTAACACTACTGCGACCAGTAAATTGATCTATTGTAGTATATCCTGTGTCCTTAGTTTAGTGCATGTCGTATTACTCCATCACTATTGAAAAATGATGAAGTATTCGATGTTTTTACAGTTGCCATTCTTGCATTTATCGCAAGGATCCGAGTCTAATTGAAAGGTCCCGCTATTTATACCCTTCGGAGTGTTGAAACACCCTCCAAAGGCGCGCCCCTTTGCCAGTCAAAATTGGATTTCTTAGCAACAAAATTAAGGTATGACACCGATAATGACCACGCATCAGAACCCTAGTCTTAACCACTTCAAACTAAACAGCTACCAAACAACTAACTCATTTTTTTCCTTGTTTCAAGATCATCCTCGGTAGACAAGGCCGAGTCTTGTCACTATCAACAAGGCATAAAAAGTAACAAGGACTAAGATGTGTTCCTTGGATTACTGAAAAATCATGTTCCCCTAGTTTGAAGTAGTTAGGACTAGGAATCGGTGGTAGATCTTACATCCCGTAACGTACCACGAAAAGGTGATCTACCCACGTTACGGGGAGTTGACATAGTGGATGACCTGTTGCAAGCTGTCATTATCTTTGGCCTCGCACTGTACGACCTTAAACGAGAGCGGGAAAATCTGCAGTGATTCGTTGATTACAGTGCAAATGCTGCACTCCAGCTCCAGATTGGCTATCACGTACTCTTCTTCTAGAAGAAGACGTCACGTGACGGTTAATCAGTCTGGATAGGACGTCTGCGTGATCAAAATTGTCTGTGTAGGTAGATATAGCGGATTTCAAATTCATAAAGCAGGAGGAATGTGAGGGCCCACCGCTGAAGCCTTTTTGCGATGTAGGTGGGGATACCCTTCTTCGAACCGAAAATCTGTATTAGTGGTTGGTGATCGATCTCCAAGACCAATTTTCTACTGAATAACTAGCTCTCCTTTTCCACTTGACTATAGTTGCTTTCTGTTGCTGTCAGGCTACGGGACACGTGGTAGATGGCTTTCACAGATCCATCGGGGAACCTATGGGCGATGCGGGGTCCATGCCCGACCGATGATGCATCCGCCAATACAACAATGGCCATACTTGGACTGTAATGTTTCAGCAGCTTCCGAAACCGGTCAAATGATCTCTGACAACTGGACTACCACTCGAATTTGGTACTGGTCTTGAGCAGCTGATACATCCCAAATACAACCGTAGTGTAGGTACGTCGTTCGGGGGTGACATGTTGATGATTGCTGCCACTTTGTCCGGATCTAGTCTGATGCCGTCTGAATCCAGTATTTGACTCAGATATTTCAGCTGGCGCATGTTGAAATTGCATGTTTCTATGCGTTGATGTTCTTGTTTGGTCCTGCCGCCAACTAAAGTGTCGTTCAAATAACCAGTAGTGTATACCAGACCAGCGAGCATAGCGTCCATACTCTGTTGGAAGGCCCTCGGGGCTGTTTTGACACCGGGTGATAATCTCATCGACCTGCACCTGAAGGTACGCGTCGGATACTGCCAGCTAGCCATCTAGCCAATATCCTCGGGCAGAGGAAGATGATAACAGTTTGGCTAAAGCACAGTGTTCAGTCCCGTTGAAAAATCTACGCTTATACGAACCGTTCCGTTGAACTTTCGAGCGACGACTATCGGAGCCGCCCAGTCGGAAAATACGACCTTCTTCAGGAATCCAAGACTTTCCAATCGATGAAGTTCCTTTTCTACAACACTTTCCATACTGTATGCTACCGGTCGTTTGGGTCGAAAACCCGGTTTTGGATGGTCCTTCAGCACCAACTGGACAGGAATTTTGTTGTACAAGCCCAATTTCGTGGTGAAAGCGTCTGGGAAATGAGCTTGGTGATCCGGCAATTTGGTTACAGAACGACGTGATTGACTGGTTGTGGAACATCCAAACATATCCATCAGATCGATCCCTAAAATATTGAAATGCACGTTAGGAGCAGCTACCAAACACTTACCCTTATTGGTGATGTTTTGGAGGGTAATACTGCACTACAGCTCTGCTGAGACGAGATTCAGACGCTCCCCAGACAATAATTGGAAACTTTCTGGAGCAACTATAACAAAAAACTGTTGAAAAATACACAACCATATTTTGACCGTATCATTCGAAGAAAATCAAAAATTAAATCGTAATCATTTGCCAATAGCAATCGAAACTGTTTCTTACTACCCCATCTCCCCCTATGTACGCAATCCACGATGAACAGCAATTCAAATTCTGCTAATATATACAACTTCAAAAGCTTTGCATGTCTCTATCTTGCTACCGGCAGCAACTACTTTCGTATATATATAGGTATAAGTCAACGATAGTTCCCTGACAAATTTGTGATGCAAAATCACACGAAGCGTCAATTGCCGTTTGTTGTTACAAGTTCAAGCGTCATCTCATGCACACGACCGCCCCGGACCGGCAGAATAATTGAGCACGCATGGGACGTGCGATTGACAGCGATAGTAATTTATGGACCAGCAGAAGAGATCTGTGTCTAGTCATTTGAAGAAAAGAAAAATGCAGTTGCACTGCATTCCTGACTGCACTACTCGCTGAGTGGTGCTGCTCTATAATTCTACTATTGACGTACGGGGGCTCGTGTGCTGTCTTTTACACTTGTTCAAGTGAGTTTCACGAGGAACAAGACTGCATCGGAAATTGAAACTAATCAAAGTTTCCACTTGGATTCCGAGGTCGTTTGAACTTGATTCAAATAACATTAAGGTCACTCCTATCAAGCTAGTCGGTCACCCTACACAATTTTCTCCTGCTGCCATCTGTTGCTCGGTGAAGGCAATCAAGTTTTCTCACGACTACCAACGAGCTCCAGAGGCAAACAAATCTCATAGTAGTGGTTCCATTTCCATCATCAAAGCAAACTACCAGCGCTGATGAACAATGACGGTACCGTAGCTCCCTCATCGATGATGACTATCATACAAAGGGATCGTCCGAAAGTGACGAACGAGAATTTTCAGATTGTACTTTCGTAAACATTTTTCAGACTTCAAGACTCGAACTGCCAACTTGAGGAACGAATTTCAGAACGTCATTCCGGTCCGATCCCCTCCCCCGACGATTCCGGGCCGTAAACCTAGGTACCGAGGAATGCCATCACTGGCTGGGCCGAGAGGTAGCGAACGAGCTATTCTCTCTTCTGCCTCGGATGCAAAGAGTTGATACCAGTAGTCTTGCACTATAACTGTTCCCTATCGTCTTTCGTGGCATATCGACGAGATACACACCGTTTGTACTTAAATGAGAATTATTGTGACACAGAATTCTATTGTTTGGCTGTCAGCTTGTTATAAGATTCGTTTAAACTGTGCACTAAGTGGAATTTATTGATTTTCCGTTCGTTCTTACTTGAGTGGTTTTATGGTCATATGGAAAAGCAATAACCTGTACCTGTTCAGCGACGAAGCGACCTGCACTACAGAGGAGTCAATTTTGTAAATTAGCAACCACTCTCTAGCTGATAAGCAAATAAATAATTATTGCATTACTGCCATAAATAGTCATAACAGTTTCAGCGATTACGTATTGAACCCGGGTCGCCGTAGTAGGCCACGAGTGCATCAGCTGTGCAGTGTTCTTAATCCAGGGCCTACTGTTAGAAAAGTGACATCGATTACAGTTAATGGTTGTTTAATACCCCTTATAAGTGGACGATACATTCTGGATAAAAAGTGCGTTTCCAAGCAAAGAGAAGAAACCTGAGTACCGAGACGAGGTTTTGCATACTTTTGCATACAATGGCGGCCGCAGATGATAAAACTAGTAACCCCATGAAATCGCTCGGGTGGAAGTTTTTGAACAAGGAAACCTTCGGTAATGGTACGACTCGTTTTTCTGCTTCAGAACAGAAAAGAAGGAAATTCATTTCATTTCGATTTTATCTTCAAATCGCTTTCGAATGTGCGACGCAATGACGAGTGTGGTCCAGCCATAGTAATCGATATATATATTCCCCCTAAATGTTCTCACGCGAGTACCACCGTCTCTAATTCTCTCTTCGCTTTTCTCGATTTTCGGCATTTTTTTTCTAGGTGAACGTGCCAACTATGTAAACAGTCCACATGTTATTGCGATGGTAGGGTTGCCAGCGCGAGGCAAAACATACATTTCCAAGAAACTCTCGCGCTACCTGAACTGGATCGGGATTAACACGAAGGTATTCAACCTGGGCGAGTACCGGAGACATGCCACCGATGCCTACCGAAGTCACGAGTTTTTCCGACCGGACAACGAGGTTGCGATGGCCATCCGGCAGCACTGCGCCGAGATGGCACTGGAGGACGTTTGCCAGTGGCTGGAGAATGGCGGCGAAGTGGCGGTAAGTGTGAACGGTCGATGTCGCTGATGTCAGGAAGGTGATTATCACGGTAATTTAGGAAGTGATAAGTGAGCAGGAAATGGAAATAGGTTGATGCTAAATTGGCACGTGATGAGTGGTTTTTAGATAAAAACAACTAATTGTCATGTTTCTACCACGGAGGGTGTTACATATAGCTAGGAAAGCCTCTCATATCGGTTCCGTCCAATGCCTATTTTTCAATTAAAATGTTATTCAAAAAAGCAAACATACTATTCTGGGGTGAAAGTCGTCGGATAATCGAGTCATTTTCTTTTCCTTCCCGCAGTTTAATAGATATTGAAAATTAATTGAACTGGGTTTAGGTGCCCAAATTGAACAGTTTAAAATTATTTCATTCCTTTTTCCTGATGATGGTCACATATGGCAATTACTGAAAAGCAACTTTCGATCTGATGTTTGGCGGCTTATTTTCATCTAACTTTCTTCAACAATTGCTGAATTACCCCTAAACGCATAACAGTCCCATTAGAATATGAAATCAAGCAAAGATGTGACTGTTATGCTTTTATGGGCAGTGAGGCCACCCACATTGTTGGATCCATGACCACAAGGATGGGTTAACTTATCAACCTCCTGCTCCCCACCGTTGTGCAAAATTTGATCGAATTTGGTTAAGATCTGCATTTGCGGAATAGCCCTAAAATATGTATTGGAAAATGTATGAGAAATAGAAAAAAAACTGCTCAAAAGTTAAAAAAGATAGATTGAGTAAACTAAGCGAAACAACTTTGTCCAAAACTGTAAATCGATTCGATTCGACTAAGTGCTCCGCACATACCTACAAGCTCATATATACGCTTGTAGGTATTTGCGGAATACTTGACCTAATGTAAAATAATAATAACTTTTTACCCCGAAGTCAAATTGATTTGCGATCTTATAGTACGTTCAAACTACAGAGTTATAACATGTTATAGCACTATCTTGATGGTGGTTTCTGTGTTGCAATTATTTGACAACCGTTATAACATGTTATAACTGCTCAGTCTGGACAGCGTTTTAGACAAAGTTGCTCTGCATAGCATTACCAAATTGATCAAATTTAAACCATTTTTGATTTTTTTTTTCATGAATGGTTTGCGCGTTTCCCATACAAAATTAAAAATCCTCCCACATATCCAGATCATAACCAAATTCGTTCAAATTTGGCAGTTGTTGAAGACCTCAACACACATCATAAGAGCAGTGGGAAGCTAGTTGTAACTCACCCTACAATCATGACCCATCCCAAATTATGGTTCCATTCAAAATTATGGGTTGCATCAAAGCATCAGTTGAGCGCATAGAGTGTACATGGATCCACTCAAAATGGTGGGCGTGTGCAGGCCTCTTCATGACGAAGGGAAAGACAACCAATAGAGGACTGTCTTATATTCTAGGCGGTATCGGTGAGTGCAGTATTGGGCGTTGTACATTTCAAGCAAGATAGTATTTATCAAAAGTGAATGCTGAACTTGTTGTTATCGCTGATACCTGCAACTGCTAACCGTTAAATGCCGATGATTCTGAAATCTTGAAAAACCAGAATATTTTACAGAGATTTTTAACCACCTAAAGATTTTTGAAATAATTTCTGAGCAACATGATATTATGAGAGAATATATGACAGATGAGATTAGGATTGCTCGGCAGATGGAGATCTTCAATATAGTATCTGATGAACCTGAAGTCTTGAGCAAATAACCAGCGGACTTGATTTATGAGTGCATATCTAAGAAATGTTATTGAGGGGGTTAGAAGGAAAGGGGTGTAAGTGACTTTCATCGATTCTCTTCATCGACTTTCTCTTTCGTTAATAATTCAGCTGCAAACACATTCCTTGATTCGTGTGCCATTCTCGATGCAAGATGAGAACCTCCTTTATCAAATGAATGGCACAAATAGTACAAAATCGGTTTATAAAACTTTTGCTATCAAAAGAGAAAGTCGATGAAGAGAATCGATCAAAGTCACTTACACCCCTTTCCTTCTAACCCAGCTCAATTTTTTTCCCTTGATTAGTTTTCCGTACTTTGGCATAATTTCAAAATGTCATCAGAATTAGTTTTACTTGCAGGATTCCTCTCAATAATCTCATAATTTTGTTCAATATCGGGAATACCTCATATTCTTCATAAAAGTCTTGGACTTTTATGCAAAACAGTTTAGAAATTCCCTCCAAGAAAACATCTTGAAATTCACTCTTCATTTTATCTTTGTATTCATAAAAATTCTCGTGAGAATGTGCTTTAGTTTTCCTTTATTATATTCTTTACAATTCACTTGAAATATGTCTATAAATCTATTAGAATGCCATTCCGAATTTAGAAAAGTATTATTCTAAAATGTCGTTGGAATTTACTTCAGAATTCTGTAACCGTCCTGTTACAAAGTTCCAATACAGCATTTTAAATTTAACACTTGCGGTGAAACCCACTGGGCAGACGATACGGTCATGCTTAACGGCCGACTGCTGAATAAGGCGTGCATGGCCGCGGCAAAATGGTGACACGGAGTCACGGGTGATGAGCTGAAGAGTTCTCCGATGCTTAAAGAACGGCCATCGTTGACTTTATCTCAGGCGAGCGTGTAGACCAGAAGTGTCTGTGGAGTATATTTTAAACGGTGCGAGTAGTCAATCAAGGTGAAGTGTAAATCACCAATTCAGCTGATTCAGGTAAAGTCTAAGCCTTCCTTGTAATTGATCGAAGAACCAATCAAATTGCTTTCTGGTTGGCGAGTCAAGAACCGCCATTGCACGCTACGGTCTAGGTGACATTTAATTACCTTGACCTAAACGTAAAGGACATCGTTCTCGGGCTCAAGGCCAAGGAGAATTTCCCTTCCCGGTTCGACAAAGGGCGGCCTTGCCGTCGTCGACCGGCTTCGTCAGAAGGAAGCGCCTGTGCATCGGAACCATCTCCACAAACCGCTATACCAGCCCCGGTAGAACCAACCCGCCATCGCACTACAGCCGACGTTCGGTCAACCTTGCTTCATCCGCCATTGTCGGAATTGTACCGGAATTTCATCGAGCGGTGGTACCGCCATCTTGCCGACAAGATCGGCCTTTCATCGACAGAATCATTCGTAGTCACCATCGTCGTCAAGGGTATGTGCCAGAAAATCGATCACAACACCACACAATCCACACTATCGTTAATTGGAGAAAAAAATATACAGTGTTTAAGTTGATCCGCGCTGTGTTTCAGTTCATTTGAAAGCTTGAGTGCCTTTTCGTCCGCGTAGCCCCTCCAGTTTGCCCAGTAGTGCGCCGACTCTGAGACACAGTTCAAGGAGTCTCGTGCTGCTGAGTTGTTGTCGCCGGGCTTTCGATAGTTTCGTAGTGGGCGCAACTCCACTACCGATCAAGTCCGCAGCGGCAGGCCCTCCGATGTGGTTACAGAAGACAATGTCTAAAAAATACATGTAATGGTGTTGGCTGATCGGAAAGTGAAGGTGCGCGAGCTAGCAGATACCGCAAAGATTAGTACTGAGCGCACACGCCATATTTTGGGATTCTGCATATGAAAAAGTTATCCTTCCGCTGGGTGCCGCGCAAGCTCACTCCTGACCAAAAACACGAACGCTAGAGCACTTCAAAAGAGTGTTTGGACTTGCTGATGCGGAATCTAGTGGACTTTGGGCGTCGATTAGAAACTGTTGATGAAACCTGGATCCACTATTACACCCCAGAGAACAGAATGAGTTCCCGGCAATGGACTGAAGCCGGCACGAGTGTTCCAAAGCCGTCGAGGGAGGCTCGATGGGTCGGAAAGGTTATTGCGTCGGTTTTCTGGGATTGTCATGGCATACTCTTCGTGGACTACCTCGAAAAAGGAAAAACTATCAACGAGTATTATTGAAGTGGCGCCGGTGGTTTAGTGGTAAGCGTGATTACTTCTCACCCCAGTCGGCGCAACCGGGATGTTCTGAGGCATAACATCTCTGATCACACCTTCCTTCGGAAGGGAAGTAAAACCGTTGGTCCCCGGTTCATGAGTTGATGGGTCGATAGGTAAGGTCCAGGTGTGGAAGCTGCCTCCCTGGCGTCGGCAGCACGGAAAACAAGATCGACGGAAAACAATCAAGGAGTATTATTGTGCATTATTGGAGTGATTGAAGGCCGAAATCGCTGCAAAACGGGCTCACATGAAGCGAAAAAAAAGCACGGCTAAAATCAATGGCTTACGGCTCCAATTGCTTCCGCATCCACCGTATTCGCCCGATTTGGCTCCCTCAGACTATTATCTCTACCCAAACCTCATTTCAACCTCCAAACCCAGCTTTGCATATCATTTCGTGATGCACCTTTGTCGTAATACTTCCTTTAACGAACACAAATTTTCTTGCATTACCATGGTCATCTGGGAGGAGGTTCGCGTCTAGTGGTTTCTCCAGGAACAGTTCGCGACCACCAACTGCCATCCATCCACTCTTGGGTGTATCCAGCGAGACATCTTTCGTATTGCTCGTTATCTCCGACACCGGCGAGCACTTTTGCAGGCGAAAAACTTGCTGATTCACGGTAACGTCGGCCACCAAATCACCACCACAACTCGCGACGCACACATTATCCACACGTTCCCGGGCTAATTCACCAACCGGACCGATCTCTCAATAGAACTACACGCCGAAAGTGTAGCATGCGAACTCGGAGAACCGGGCTCCCGGGAGGCAATGAAAATCGACACCGAACAATGGAACTGAATCTGCGTTGTACATTTTGGCGGTTAGATTTAAGGCCAACCGAGCCACTCAAGGCAAAACACGATATATCACTAAATGATAACTTTATGAACACTTGAAACTAAATTTAAGCACACAAATTAACAGATTTAAAGCCAAAATGTGTTTGATTCGCTTACGAAAAATACGCAGCCAAGGAAAAACACGTCAGCTTTCAAGCGCGGCCTACTGCGATCTCCCCGCCCCCGGAATCGAACATGCAAAGGTGATGACAAAACATCGTAAAGATAAAGCACTTAGAAGCTCTCGTATTTTCATGAGAAAATATGAGGAGTGCTTTACCGGCCTCATGGAGCGAATAGCCTCGACAGAACTGAGACTATCCGTAAAAATAAAGTAGTGATCTGGTGCAAGCGTAAATGTATTGCCACCAGCTCAGCAACATATACGGAACAGAGAGATTGAAGCATTCGAGAGGCGCTATGAAATTCGTTATAAGTACCAAAACCAGCGGACGCCTCTATTAGTGATATTAGATATTAGATAGATATTGGAACGATCTTGCGGAATCAACTTGGTCAAACTGTGCAGCGAAAATTAACGGAACAATCATGGAGCGATGAGGCTCTGGGATCTCACGAATCTCCCGCGTTATGGATAAATCAAATTGAACAGAACTGCCGAAGTCGAAGAAGCATACTAACTTACCTTACCAATCAGACTAAGGCCTTGTTGTCCTCTGCTGTCCGAAGAAGTCGTCTCCACTCTACTCGATCCATGGCCACACTTCGCCAGCCTCGTAATCTGCGAAGGGTCCACAAGTCGCCTTCTACTTGGTCGATCCACCTTGCCCGCTGCGCGCCTCTTCTTCTTGTTCCTGTTGGGTCGCTTTCTAGAACCATTTTCACAGGGTCGTCGTGCGGTATTCTTACGACGTGCCCAGCCCACCGTAGTCGCCCAATTTTTGCAAGTTGGACGATGGATGGTTCTCCCAGCAGCTGGTGCAATTCGTGGTTCATTCGCCTCCTCCACGATCCGTCATCCATCTGCACTCCATGCAGTGCAGATGGTACGTAAAACCTTCCTTTCGAAAACACCACGGTCCTCCACGAGCATAGTCCAGGTCTCGTGGCCGTAGAGGACCACCGGTCTAATCTGCGCCTTGTACACAGTCAACTTCATGCGGCGGCGAATTTTATTCGACCGGAGCGTTCTCCTGAATCCAAAGTAGGCACGATTTCCTGCCATAATGCGTCTTTGAATTTCTCTGCTGGTATCATTTTCGGCGGTCACCAGTGAGCCCAAATACACGAACTCATCGACCACCTCGATTTCGTCACCGTCAATCTGAACTCGGGGTGGGAGGCTAACATTGTCTTCCCTAGAACCTCTTCCTTTCATGTATTTTGTCTTTGATTCGTTGATGGCAAGTCCAATCCGCCTAGCTTCAGCCTTCAGTCTGATGTACGTTTCCACCATCGTCTCAAAGTTCCGTGCCATGATGTCGATGTCATCGGCGAAGCCAAGAAGCTGTCTATCCCAGCTCTTCTGATCACACCTTCTAACGCGATGTTGAATAGCAGACACGAAAGTCCATCACCTTGTCGTAACCCCCTTCGAGATTCAAAGAGACTCGAGAGTGTCCCGATACTCGAACAACGCACATCACTCGATCCATCGTCGCCTTGACCAATCGCGTCAGTTTATCCGGAAATCCGTACTCGTGCATAATCTGCCATAGCTGATCTCGATCGATTGTGTCGTATGCGGATTTGAAATCGATGAACAAATGATGTGTGCGCGAAAATTTGGTCCGTGGTAGCGCGGGCACCCATCAATCCCGCCTGGTATTGCCCCACGAACTCTCTTGCAAATGGTGACAGGCGGCGGCATAGAATTTGGGAGAGTACCTTGTAGTCGGCGCTCAGAAGTGTGATTGCGCGGTAGTTGCAGCAATCCAACTTGTCGCCCTTTTTGTAGATTGGGCATACGACACCTTCCATCCACTCCTCCGGTAATATCTTTTCCTCCCAAATCTTGGCAATTACCCAGTGCAGCGTTCTAGCCAGTGCTTCACCACCGTATTTTAATAGCTCACTTGGTAGTTGATCTACACCAGTTGCTTTGTTGTTCTTCAGTCGACCGATCTGTTGCCGTGCCACCTTCGTTTTCTGCTACTTCACCGTTAAGGTGCTCGTCATAGTACTGCTTCCACCTCTCAATCACCTCACACTCGTTCGTGAGAAGGTTACCGTCCAAGTCCTTGCACATATCGACTTGCGGCACGTAGCCTTTGCGCGAACTATTTAGCTTCTTTAGCTTCCTTCGGAAAACCGAGTTTTGTCTGTTCCGCGCTTGTCTGTATCGCTCCACATTCAATCTCGTGCGGTGTTGCAGCATTCTCGCCCGTGCTGCATTCTTCTCCTCTACTAACAGTTTGCATTCGCCGTCAAACCAGTCATTTCTTCGGTCCGAGATTGCAGTACCTAGTGCCACTGCAGCAGTACTACCTATGGCGGAACGGATTTCCCTCCAGCCATCTTCAAGAGAAGCTGTGCCAAGCTGCTCTTCCGTGGGTAGTGCAACTTCCAGCTGCTGCGCGTAGTCCTGGGCAACTCCGGCGTCCCGTAGTTGCTCAATGTTGGGTCGCGGCGTTCGACTTCGACGGGTGTTATGAACCGTCGAGAGTTTTGAGCGCATGCATATTGCAACTAGGTAGTGGTCCGAATCTATGTTCGCACTGCGGTACGTGCGGACGTTGATAATGTCGGAGAAGAATTTCCCGTCGATTAGAACGTGATCGATTTGGTTTTCTGTGTGTTGGTCAGGTGATCTCCAGGTAGCTTTGTAGATATCCTTGCGGGGGGAAAAAGGTACTTCGAACATCATTGGCCGTTGTCGTTCGATACGGCATGCAGGCTGTTTGGCCCGATTGCCGGTCTATACATTGCCTCCCGTCCTACCTGAGCGTTCATGTCGCCGATGACGATTTTGACGTCCCGTTGCGAACAACCGTCGTACACCTGCTCCAGCTGCGCATAGAACGCTTCTTTTTCGTCGCTGGGTCTCCCTTCGTGTGGGCAGTGTACGTTGATGATGATGTAGTTGAAGAAATGGCCCTTAATCCTCAACTTGCACATCCTCGCGTTGATCGGCTGCCAACCAATCACGCGTTGGCGCATCTTACCCAGCACTACAAATCCGGTTTCCAGCTCGCTGGTGGTGCCACAGCTCTGGTAGAAAGTAGCCGCTCGATGTCCGCTTTCCATACCTTTTGTCCCGTCCAACAAAGTTCCTGCAGTGCTACGACTTCGAAGTTGCGTGGTTGAAGTTCGTCATAGATTAACCTATCGCAGCCCGGGAAGCCGAGCGATTTGCAGTTCCATATTCCGAGTTCCAATCGTAGTCCTTATTTCGTCGCGTAGGTCTGTGCCGATTGTTTCGATCCGTATTTCTTTCTTCAGTATTTGCAACTTTATGTTTTTTTCAAGGGCGGCTTGTTGGGCCTGCCCCAACCCCCTGTCTCGCCGGGGGACCATGTGCGCAGCTCTGTTTAGAGTCCCTCGCTGGCACTAGGACGGTGATCAGCCGCTTCTAACATGGAGAACAGACGCCGTTTTGAGCCGCACCTCCATGGTGAACATACGCTCGGGGTTAATGAAGCATTTTCTCTATCACCGTACTATAGTTACTGCGCCAGTGTTCGCGTCGCACCTCTTCACTTTGCTGTGTCCATGTTTTAGCTGGTAGTCTTTTGTTATCATATGACTCGGGGAGGCGTGAAGTAGGAACTTGTGAGGACCAGGGCAAGGCAGGGGACGCACATCGATGAACAGCTGTTAAATTTAATCGGGGTAGAAATGGCGACGAGTTGAAAGTGTGCTTATACTTTCTGGGACACCCTATAATCTAAAAATTGAAATTGCCTCTCTCAGATATTCTCCCCAGATTTCGGGTTGATCATATATGGTGAATTATTCAAAAGCCGGTCGAAAAATTCAATAAAGTCCTCTGATTATTTTTTCAATACTTCTGGTTGATCGAGATGAAGATCTGAAGATTTTCAACTGTTCAAAAATTCAAATGTCGTCTCCCAGATATTCTTCCAAAATGGCAGGTTGGTCAGGAAGTATTTAAAAGATTTCAATAAAGTCCTCTTGATCAAGTATTGTTCTGAGGATCCTCAACTCTTCAGAAACTCAAACGACGTTGGTCCTTAGAAGATTTCATTGAAGTTCCGTGGCTTCAGGTCAAATCCAGTATTGGCTTTCGACACATCCTAAACCGAAACCTAACCGCATTTTTTAATATTCCAGGTGTTCGATGCAACCAACTCGACCCGCGAGCGCCGTCGCATGATCAAGGACATCATCGTACACAAGATGGGCTACAAGCTGTTCTTCGTGGAATCGATCTGCGACGATCCCCAGATCATCGAACAAAACATCATGGTAAGTGCCGTCCAGCACCTAGCGGCATTCGCTCCAACTTTACTCTCAGTTTTTTAAAGCGAAAACCACTTGGTCATTCATCCGGTGTTTTTTTTTTCTCTTTCTATCTTTCTACATCTTTTTGCACCGTAACAACCCAAATCGATTCGATCAATTTTGCGATCCCATACTCTTTGAACTAACTCAAATTCTAAACGCTAGCTAAAAATCAGCGGACTTGAGTATTTGCCACCGCTGGTGTCCTTTAACGGTATCCAGGTGACTATGAAAAGGAAAAGCACTCGAACCATTTGTTCCATCTCTAACGTTTTGCGTTTCGATCAGATCCCCTTGTGAATAGCAGCACCACCTACGTGTTTCATCCGTTCATGTGTTTGACTCCCCCGTTGAAAATGTACGTTTCTAATCACAATTACTTACTGCGGGTGAATGGATTACTTCCACCATGTCGTAGACTTTGTCCCATCTATTTGTGTATCCCTCGAAATTCGAAGCAGCTCAGAGCTGTGTGCATAACTCAAAACCGTTGTCTTGCTTTTGCCATTTCTCGACCATCGAGACAGCATATTCTCTTTCCCCTTCGTAACACTAACCGTGTCTGTGTCGTTTCCGGTTTCGTTCAATTCACCCCCCAAAAAAATGGCAGGAAGTGAAAGTGAGCAGCCCGGACTATCGCAACATGAACATGGACGAAGCGCTGAACGATTTCCGCCTGCGAATCGAACACTACCAGGAACGCTACGAACCGCTGGTCGAGGAAATCGAAACGGACCTGTCGTACATGAAGATCTACAACACCGGCGAGAAGGTGGTCGTCCACAAGCACGAGGGACACATCCAGTCCCGGATCGTGTACTACCTGATGAACATTCACATCACCCCGAGGACGATCTATCTGACGCGGGTGAGTAAGATCTGTGGTAGCACGAAATTTCCTAGATTTCTCTAAAACCTGTCGTGCATCATCCAAAAACAGCACGGAGAAAGTGATCACAATCTCGAGGGACTAATCGGAGGCGATTCGGACCTGAGTGACCGTGGCCGCCGGTACTCGCAAGCCCTAGCCAAGTACATCGAAGAGCAACAGATCGAGGGCCTGCGGGTTTGGACCTCGTGGTTGAAGCGCACAATTCAAACAGTGACCAATGTCCAGGCACCGCAAGAGCGCTGGAAGGCCCTGAACGAGATCGATGCGGTAAGATCCGAAGTCGGCGGACGCCGCTTGGAATAGTTTAATTAATATTTTCCGTTTCGATAGGGCATCTGCGAGGAAATGACCTACGAGGAGATCCAGTCCAAGTTCCCGGAAGAGTTCAAGGCACGGGATCAGAATAAATTTGCCTACCGCTACCCGCGGGGCGAGAGCTACGAAGATCTGGTGGTGCGACTGGAACCGGTTATGATGGAATTGGAACGGCAGGGTAACGTTCTAGTCGTATCACATCAGGCCGTCCTGCGGTGTGTGCTGGCATACTTCCTGGACAAGCCTGCGGGTTTGTTGCAAAGCAAATTTTATCATTCAGGAACAACGCATTAAAATCCGTCTTTGTCTTTTGCAGATGAACTCCCATATCTGAAGGTGCCTCTGCATACGATCATCAAGCTGACGCCGGTGGCGTACGGGTGCAAGGTGGAGCACATCAAGCTGCCCATCGACGCAGTGGATACGCATCGTGCGAGGCCTGAGGTGAGTGCGACGGAGTTTTTTTTTTCGTAGTTCGGTTTTGGTTCGTTTTAACACGTTTGACTGCACTCTTGACTTTTGGTGTTGTTGTTTGAAGGTACCGATTAGAAGAAAGTTGATTGGGCATTGGTGTAGGGAAGGACTAACCACTGTTGTAGCTGACAATAGAAATTTCGCATAGTTTGGAAAAAGTAATTGGTTGATAATTTGGATTGAATTTGGTATCACCCAAATGTGCTTTCGTAGCAATTTTGGTTTAAGAAGGTAAGGAAACGTGGCTTAGTATGCGTTGTCTACGGAAACGATTGATTTTTACTACTGATTAATCAAAATTTGCGAACCTTTTTGAAGCTAATACCAAAAACTTCATATGAAAACACGCAACCCCTTTCGAAAAATGATGTAAGGTCAACGTAAAAGACTTCTATTCTGGGCCAATGAGCTGGATTACCGAGGTGAAGCTATCGGTTAAGTTGTTTGAGTGAAACCCTTGTACGATGCAAGCAATTAGTGACGTCACTAATTGCGTTTACGTTGATTTTTTGGTTTACTAATACAACAATATTTCACGATCAGCTTAACCTCTCTCTGTACCTCATTGATTATGGGCGGCTACTTGCTTTTGCTGCACAAATTCCTATCGACTTGCTTGATTTCCTTGTTGAGGCTCTGCCACTATGAATCCCTGGATCTGCCTCTGCTGTGATGCCGGGTTGCGTTCCAAAGCAGCGCTTGCTTGCAGATTTCGTTCCTTCGTGCTGTTTGGTCGGGTCGGTTCAAGACCAAGGAAACTTCTAACTTCTTCGGGAGTCTTTGGTTCCCGGAATGTTTGTAGTGAATCAATCTTACTAACAGTCGGTCTAATTCCTTTCGATGACATCAGATGACCAAGGAACTCAGATTGCTATATTTTAAACATACAGTATTTCGACAGTGAGCATGCATAAGGGCGTAACCGCGATGATTGATATTCTCTTTTGTTAATAACTCGCGTTGCTGTTGATAGCCAATACAACCTATTACAGCACTGTATTGCACAAATTTCAGAAAATTGCTTCCTTTAGCTTTAGCTGCAGAAATTTAAAGTGAAAATCGATGAAGAGAATCGATCATCGTACAGTCAAGATTCCTATTATAGTGCGGATTCGTTCTTGCCGGATTCCTATAGTACTGATGCCACTGGATTCCTATAGTACGGTCGATCCGGCATTAACGAATACACGTAGCATATGGGATTCGAGCTAATTGGGACCAAACACTGATTGTACGGCAATGATGTCTTTGGAGAAGTTGTTGAACAGATAGTTGGCCACCTTTTGGGAAGAAACAGTTTCCGGTAGGATACAAGTCTGGTCCTGTGTAAGATCCGGAACATCCGTAAAAGTGGTCAATTCATGAAACTGATCCTAGAGCTACGCGGTTTTTAGGAAACACTCATAGACATCTTATCAGAATTAATTAATAGTTCTGCAGACTACGGGATGGTCCACAAGAAGACCCGAAACACCCGTAAAAGTGATCGATTCGTGAAACCGATCCTAGAGCTCCACGGTTTTTTAGGAAGCACTCATAGACGTTTTAAAACAATAAAATCGAAGTTTTGACCAGAAAATTTAAACTGAGGACCATGGGTTGGTCCACTAAAAGATCCGGAACATCCGTAAAAGTGGTCAATTCATGAAACTGATACTAGAACGATGTGTTTTTTTTTTAAATCCACTCATAAACCTCTTATCATAATGAATCCGAAGTTGTGTTCGGAATATGGGCTCTGGAGACTACGTGATGGTCCATCGAAAGATCCGGAACACTCATAAAAGTGGTCAATTCATGAAACTAATCCTAGAGAGCCACGGTTTCTTAGTTATGGTTTTGAAAAAAAAAAACTACGGAGTTCTAGGATCAGTTTCATGAATTTACCACGTTTAAGGATGTTCCGGATCTTCCAGTGGACCATCCCGTAGTCCCCACCCGCAGCGTCAAAATTCCGATCATAACTCCAAATTCATTCTGATAAGACGTCTATGAGCGGTTTCGAAAAAACCTCGGAGCTCTAGAATCAGTTCTAGGATGTTCCGGATCTTTCGTTGAACCATCCTGTGGACCCCAGGGTTCATATTCCGGTCACAATATCGAATTAATATTCTGATTAGACGTCTGTTATGTACTCAATTTCACAAGGTAGGTTTTCGTCTGTGCTCTTGGGGTAGATTCATTTCCCTTACCACAACAGCACAGACGAAAACCTACCTTGTGATCGAGCCACCGACAGCTATGCACTTCACAGCCACCAGCGTATGGATCGAAGAGTCACCGTTGGCTGTACACGCTACAGCCACCAGCGACGGGATGCCTCTCTCGAACGAAGGACCACCGTTGGCTGCGCACACCACAGCGGACAGCGTAGGAACGATGGGTCGCTGATAACTCTTCAGCCACCAGTCGTTGAGCTGCCAACAGCTGTAACCACTACAGCCACCAGCGCAGTAAACCTCTCTCTCTCTCGAAGGACCACGGCAAAACTGCCGAACACAAGGCTCCGATGAGCAGGGAAACAGGAAAGTTCAACTCTTTTTAGGCTGTGAACCATTTGCCGAGTTAAATTTAACTCGTGGTTAAAAGTGACATTTCGAAAGTTATTTTCTATGTTCGAAAATCCCCGTGCTGTCGATCGACCGGTTTTCGAGCCACGGTTGTCACAATTTGACTTCTTGTCTGTCAGAAATAACCATGCTCGGATAGCAGGGTTAATCGATAACTTTTCATCTGTCAAATTTTAACCAAAAGTTAAAATAATCCACCAAATGGTTCAGAGCCTTAAAGTGTCCACTAGGTGGAACTTATGGAAGATAAATCGATCACCACATGCAACCAGTGAATGAACGAACAGCAACTGGACGAAGCACGAATGCTCTGGAAATCTCCGTTCTCGGACGAAAAGAATGAGACACTGTTCTTAATTCTACCTTTATTTATTCGCTGCTTCCTCTTCAATGGTTAAATGCAGGATACAGAATGAAACATGAAATGCAATGTTGTTTACTTTTATACTCTTTCATCGGCTGCGTCAGCCAATCAGGATGCGCCATTCGATGACGTCGTTCGTTTTCCTATTGGAAGCGTTCATCGCGTACAACGTCTATGAGTGATTTTGAAAAAAACGACGCAGCTGCAGGATCAGTTTCATGAATTGACCACTTTTACGGATGTTCCGAATCTTCCAGTGGCCCATCCCGTAGTCCGAAGCGTCCATATTCCGGTCACAATACCGAATTCATTGTGATAAAACGTGAGTGGTTTCGAAAAATTCTCTAGGATCAGTTTCATTATCTGACCACTTTAACGGATGTTCCGGATCTTTCATTGGACCACCCTGTAGTTCCCAGAGTCCAAATTCCTGTCAAAGCTCCGAATTAATTGTAATAAGACGTCTATGAGTGGTTTCGAAAAATTTGCGGAGCTCTAGGATTAGTTTCATGAATTGACCACTTTTACGGATGTTCCGGATCTTCTGATGGACCATCCCGTGGTCCCCAGGGTCCATATTCCGGTCACAATTCTGAATTCATTCTGATAAAACGTCTATGAGTGGTTTCGAAAATTTTTCCAGACTTCTAACTTTCCGGATGCAAAATTGTCTCAAAAGGAGGTCATCTATCTAGTTAATAATTTTTCACAAGACACCAGGAAGTTATCAATTTGAATTGCCCTACAATAAGCTCTAATCCCAAATGGTACGTGTATTCGTTAATGCCAGTTCCTGTTGTGCGGTCCCTATTAACCGTACTATAGGAATCTTGACTGTAGTTAGGCTCGTATGGATGCTCAGTGCTCACTGTCGATTTGTTCGCTAACTGGGCTGTACACTCTAAAAAATCTTCACGTCCAATTTACGTGAAATATATCACGTAACTTATCTGTACGTAGAAAATCTCAAATGTTACGGTACGTTAGCAACTTTGACCTGCATTACACGTCATGTTCACTAAAAATGTTGGTGAAATCGACCGTATATTCACGTAGACAGATTTAGTGTAGCGACTTACTTTACTTTACTTACTTACTTTTGCTGGTCCGACGTCCCTCAGGATTTAACCTGCACGACAATGTTGCGCCAACTAACTATATCCCTGGCTGCTTGTCTCCAATTCTTCGAGCGTCCCACAGTTCCTAGATCTTGCTCCACTTGGTCCAACCACCTAGCACTCTGCGCTCCCCGCATAAACGCGAACCATTACTTGACCTTACCGAAAATGGTTAAAAATTGTTTATAATCCCTGCTAAACTTTAACTGAAATGGTTATGGAACTTTAATGGTTGTTATAAAAACCATTACCATTCATAATAGTTGTTTTCTTCATACATTTTCGGAAAGAGAACTTTATTAGAATCTTTTTACTTATGGTTTGCGAACTTTAATGGTAATGGTTTTGGTACCCAGACAACCAGAATGCACGTATATTCAAAGTTGTTTCTGTGATATGCAGTGTTGGGAAAATATCAAAAAATCAAATCTCACCAACGCCCAAGATCACGCTTGATTTTCGTAGACAAAAATCAACAAGCAAACAACTGCGGTTGATTTTGAAAGCTGCGATATTGCAGCTCGGAATATCAAGCTAACAAAACTCAACAACTGCAAATCTCACCAAACTGGAGTGAGATTGAGTTTAATGATTTTTGCTTTACACCCGAATGCAACCGAAACTTCCATAATGGCTTGCAGCAGTCCCTTCGCGTCTGTCATCGATGAAGATTAAAAACTAGTTTTTCTCTTTCTAAGAAAACGATGTGCAATTGAATCATTTTTGTGTCGAGTCAACTCTCAGCTTGATTTTTGAACGTTTTGAATAGTCTCGCAATATCAAAGGAGTTTGTAAAATCAATATCAAGCATGATATTTTGTTCCAATATCACGCGTCATATTGCGAGCGCATGAGAGCGGAAAAATATCAATTGATTTCTGATTTTGCCAACACTGGTGATATGAAAACATATATACA